CCCAGGACCCCAGGCGAAGAGCGCGCGGGAGGAGTGCAGGCTCTGCGCCCAGGGCGCACGCTGGGCCGCCTGGCGGGAGCGCACGGCTCTTCACCCTCCCCAGGGATCCGTCCCAGGCGGCGGGCTCTGCGGGCGGAGACTGAAGACACGCGGGTAACTTAAGGAGATGGTTTGATTTCTCTTTTTGATTTGTTTGGGCAGTTGATGCATTTGAATAGAAGGGGGCTCCTTTGAGACTCATTTTAGGGCGTTAATCAAGGATCAGAGTATTTTAAGCCTCTTTGCCAGTAAGAAGGATTTGGCTGTATTCTTTAAAATATCAAAAAACAAACAAACAAACAAAAGGTGTTGGGGGAGGGGGGCGCACAGAGGACTGGACTTAATAATTCGCCCTTCTCAGCTGCTCTCACGCTGGTCCTGGACCTAACTGGAGACTCACAGAGAGGGAGAGTTTTAGCTGCTCTGATTACACACACGTAGAACCTTTCCAGGGCACTCCCTTTCTCAACACCTCAGCTCTTTGAGCATTGTTGGAAAGTGAAGAGACTTTGTAAGGTGGTGTCTTTCTTGCTTCTCTTCCCTATGATGGGAATTTTACTTATTCCAATTTGTGTTTATGCAGATGTTTTCATTATGAAGTGCTTCCAGTTCCCCCAAATGCAAAAGGTGGCAAACTTAGAACTTGATTCTTTCATTTTGCCTGGAGAATGCACGGGGTGGGTTGATGGTAGGAAAGAACTGCCACCCCATATGAAACTATTTTTTGTAAACAAGTTAGCTTATATCTGGGGGAGAGAGAGAGAGAGAGGATTGACTCTGCTAAGAAGACTTTAATTTCTCCCAGTCTCCTAGCATGGTCCAGAATTTGGCACACATGTCAAGTCTACAGCAAATTACTTTAAATGTTATTTCTTAGAGCAGTAAAGTAATTTTTTTAATGCATTGCAAGCTTCAAAAAAAAAATCTCTAAAGGAGTGCCTACTTACCAACAAGTTCAACCGACAAAGTTGTATTGTGCCAAAACAGGGCAAAATCTCAGAAGAGAATGACAGCTTATCCTTATTATTTGGGGAAGCAGTCTGAATTGCACTGGCATATTATCTAACCTTTTGGAAAATAACATAGTTATCCAGTTCTAAGTCTTAGGAAGTGTTGATAATGGTAGCAGTGCCTCCAAATGAGACTGGCTACTCTTAAGTCAAACTCAGTTGGAAAGGTGCCTGGGATTCTCAGAATCCTGAATTGTTCCCAAGTGACAAGCAGCAGAGGATAGAAACCCTCCCTTGGGTTTGTGAGGGCACAGAGGAATGAACAGCTGGCTGGGGTCTTCATTCAACTCAGGTGGTGCACTCAGTTCCTGGGAAATAGAAAAATCATTTCAACTGATGGCATCACTTGGCACTGTTAGACCTGGGTCTCTTCTTAGTTATTGAGCTCTGAGAACACAATGGGGAGGTAAAAATTCAGAGCTTCAATTCCCTTGCATTCTTTACTCGCTCCCCTAATTTAAAATAGTCCAACTGTGAAAAATCTCCCCAAAGTCACTAGCGTATTTGTTCTGGGATTCTGTAGCTGCTACAGAAAGGCACAGGTATAAAACCTCCAGGTAAATGAAGTTGCTAAATAGGAGAGATCTGGTGTTAACGTGGCGGCAGCTTCAGACCCTTTCTCAGGGATTGAAAAGCAGACCGCCCCATGGTGCTGTGAGGAAAGGATAATTCTCCCTTTTCTGTGTCTGGTCCACTCCCATCTCTTCTATTCTTCTAAATCCCTAACCTCTAAGGGTTTCCTTTGGTACCCTTCTTCAGGACCTAGGAAAAGAATGCCTATTGCGCAGCGCTATGCATGCATTCAGTAAGTATTTGTTGAAATGAATATTTTAAGAGACTCCCAGAGCTCCATCTTCATCTGGAGTTTTGCATGCATAAAGCAACATTTCTATAAAGTAGAATTGTGACATTGAAACAGTTCATCAGGATTATGAAGAACCTATTTTTATAACAGAAAGAAATAGCATGCTTTTTCCTTCGGCTCACGTGGTGTGCTTTTTAAATTGTGTACGTTTAAAGCCCATAATATATACATTGAATTTAATTAAGTTGACAATTTTACTTTTAAATTGAATAAATTACTTTTTCACTTTGAAGAATTTTTTCATAGCAGAGCAGAGGTAATTAAGTTTGTTTGTTTACTTATTTTATTTACAATGGAGTTACTGGGGATTGAACCCAGGACCCTGTGCATGCTAAGCATGCACTCTACCACTGAGCTATACCTTCCCCTCAAGGATTTTTTAATTACTAGATTCTCATTTCGGGACTCTTTCCAAATGTCTGGCCTCCTAGCTGCATTGTGAAGCAGATAATATTAATTAAGAGGATTACGTTCCCATGTGTCGGTGTGTAGTTGCAACCTTCCCTGACACATAATGATCTACAAAAGTCAGCTTTGGTGCAAGCAAGCATGAAAGGGGTTGCCGGAGCCAAGGAATATACCCCTTGGAAGAGAGAGCACAAAGTGAGGGTAAACGCCGATTTAAATGTATAACAACATACCGACTCTGGACACAAAACTGCCCAGTCTTCACATGTGTGGGGGGCTAGAAGAATTGGGCTGATAGTAATAAACCAAGCACAAGAATCTTTTGAAGTCTGACTCCATGTCTGTGTCTCAAGAGGCAATCTCTAAACTGCCAGGGCGCTCTGTCTCCTAAAACCAAGGAAAAGTGGGATGAGCTTAGCCCCTCACGTTTAATTCTGTTCTTCCTCCCAAAGCATTGACACACTGAGCATCCCTGGTCAAGTTCCCCTTCCTAACCTTTTGGTACATGTAAAATTTGTTAGGACCCTAATCTCTGGGAAATAGCAGAAAGTCGAAAGGCAAGTCAGGAAGAGAATGAAAAAAAAGATCATTACTTTTCAATGATCATTTCAATGGTCATTACTTTTCAATTACTACAAATGGATCAATCACCAGTCAATCATCATTTACTGTCATTTATGAAACATTTAGTACAAGCTAAGTACTCTATTAAACACTTTTATTAAGTGTGCACATCACTATGGGAAAGTCAAGAGAAGTATCTGCTCTTGAGCAGCTTAAAATCTGATTATATGTACTTACACATTCACACGTACATAGGACTCATGAAAGTAAAGTAAGTATGTTTGCATATTAGTCTTTCAAGATCATTTTCTTTTTTCCAAGCTTCTTTTCCCATTAAAAATATTAAGTTTACAGGTTTATGAAAGCTGTTATTTCTCAAATGCCTTATAGATAACTGTGTCAGAATTATTACAAATTTAATGCAAAGCAAATAATATCAGATATACATTGCATTTTTAGAGAAAAGTACAAGGACTTCTTCTTCAATGCTAGAAGCCATTGGTGCTATGCTCTTTTAGAAAGGAAAAATTCAGATTGAACATGAACTTTTTATACATTTCATAAACATTGCTTTCCTTTCATTAAACTGTCTTCTCTCTTGTAATAGTTGTGGTTTGGGGTATTAATACATGATAACTCCCATACATGTCTCCAAAAGAAAAGTTCTACATTTCTGGTAAACATCTCACTACTTTTACAGAAGTAGTTATCTTTCTATTCATCTTTTATTGGTGAAGCCAGTCTTTCCTCCTAAAATTTGTTAATAATTGGTTTCTTTGAGATATTTTTTAACCATCCCTAGAGAATCATGTGACCTTCTACCTGTAATATGAATTTACATGCGGGTGGGTGGCTCAGTGGTAGAGTGCATGCCTAGCATGCACAAGGTCCTGGGTTCCCCAGTACCTCCATTAAGAAAAAAAAAAAGAATTTGCATGGTATTCTATACTAACATTAACATATAAATGTAGAGAGAAAAAGTAAGAATTTGATGGTAGAGAAAGTGAGCTGTAGATTTCAATCGTATGTTATTTATAAAAAAAGTATGGTTATGAATGACTAAAGCAAGAATTAATAATATTTAAACCTTTTCTTTAGTTCGTGTGCAAGCCAGTCTGTGTGACAGTCACGGTGGGTTTTTTGTTTGCTTCTTTTCCTCAGCGTCGGAGCCCTGATTGGACTGGGAGTTGCTGCCCTGGTTTTACTTGCCTTTGTTATCAGCGTCTGTGTCCTTTGCTACTTATTTCTGTACACAAAGCCTCAAAGATTAGACACTGGCCTTAAACTTCAACATCTAGAGGCTGCTTCCCCTCAGGAAGGTAATTAGTATCCATTATTTGTAACCAATTACCTGTACTCTATTCGAAGTAATCACCTGTGCCTAGGAAACAGATTATACTGTTAACAATGAATGCTTCTTAAAAATTCAGTTTATTATGTGTCTTTATAAAAATTCACGTTAAATAAGGCCTTAATGATGAAATACTTTAGAGAAATTGTGCCCAAGTCAAAATAGCGGTGGGATGTAAATTTTCTCATGAAAAATATTACATTGATTCAACAAATCTACTTTATTTATATGTCTCTCAGTTATAAAGGTTGTAGCTTCTTGGAATTTTTAAATTTTGTTTTTGATGGAGCGGGAGAAGTCAAATAAATAGAGGAACAAAATATCTGATAGTTAATTCTCAGTGTTGCATTGCTCTAGATCAGTTAGTTGATGGTCAGTTAAGCATTTATCTGTGTGCCTGTGGTGTGCACAATTCAGAGGAAGTATACAAAGCAATTTGGAGGCATAAGAAAAGAAATTTAAAAATAAATAGAAGACAGTCTTTGTTCTTGATTAGATCAAAAACTAGTTCAGATAGATGGGTCTGTGTGTGCCTGAGTTTGTGTGTGTAGCACATCTATAAAGTAGAAATGTTTATGTGTGGTTTTTGGAACTGAAATCTCACTGTTATCTGACTTATGAGTGCTATATGTGCTAAGTGTTATCATTATGAAACACTCAGCACTGTTAAAATATTTTGTGAATGTAAATTTCTATTAGTATATTTTAAAAGTAGTCATCATGAATTTTATTTTGGTATGTATTAATATATTTGAATAAAAATTTAGAATATATATTATATATTTATAATAAGACACAGATGCTCACGAACTTCCATTTAAAAAGAAAATGAAGAACTTTATTTTTTAAAAAATTGAGAAAATTCCCTTTCCATAGGCTTTATCTATTTTTGCTGAATCCGGAAACATATTTATGGAGTACATGCTCTGGAGCCTTCTCAAATGCACCGCCACCACATGACTGCATTAGCTGTAGTTTGCTTCTCGGTGGAGGTCTCTCTTAGAGGGTACCTTGTGTCACCTCACAGGAGTCCAGCTCCCGTTGGAGTTTGCTTTCTGAAGCACTGTTTGGAGAGTGCATGGCTGAACTGACAGGTTATTCGCTGAGTTTAATCCAAAGACTCAGACTGTTTCTCCCAGGTAAAATGAAGTAGTGGACTAGTGATTATCAGATAATCAGAGAGTAAAATCAATTTTTGTCTCAGTTGCTCAGATAACTTGAAATCTCAGTTCTTAAATGTTATTGTGCATAAGAATCACTTAGGGAGCCTGTTAAAACCGCAAACTCCAGACTCTGAGTTTTAAAACAAATCGCTCCTCTTCCAGCTCTGTCCTTGCTCCCCTGCTGTCTTCTCTCTACAGAGAAGCCAGAGGGAGCCTATTAAAACCTAAATCAGGTCATGTCTCTACTCTACTCTAAACCCTAATTGCTCCCCATTTCTTTCAATAGATATGGCAGAGTTTTTGTGGTCTGCCCTCTTCACCTTTATTTCTTGCATCTGATGCCCTTGAAATTCTTGGCTTAGGGCCTTTGCTCATGCCATCATCATTGTCTGGAATGCTTTCCCCTCGCTTTCACTTGCTCTAGACCTTTACTAAAAGTCACCTTCTCAGGGAGTTCTTCCCTGGTCACCCTACCTGCATTTTTAACTTCAACATTTAAATACCTCCTTCCTGCCTTATTTTTCTCCTAAGCACTTACCACTAATATATGAATATATTTCACTTATCTATTGTCCGACTTTTCTCCACTCCAACTAGAAAAGTAAGTTCCAGGAAAGTAGGAATTTTTGTCTTGCTTGCTCACTATGTGTCCCTAGTGCCTAGCACACCTAACAAATGTTTACTCACTGAATGGAGTGAAGTAGCAGTGTGCCTCTATTATAGGTGATCAAAGGAGCATGTTCATTGTCATTATTACAGTCATCAAACATTCATTGAGTTCCTCTTCTATAACAATGCATTGTGCTAAATAAAAGTTGATTATTTTTCCTTAGTTAGCTCAGGGACTACTCCAAAATTTTATTTCAAGTGGGCTCCGAAACCCAGCAACAGAAGTAGTTAGCTCAAATCTTACAGTCTTACGGCCATTTAGCTAAGGAGATCCATTAGTGCACCACCTATGTAGTTAGATGAGGCTACTTTCTTACAATGAAATGTCCCTACTCTACCCTTCTCAAAAACATTATGTTTACCAAGTCAGCAAATTAATTCAATACATCTTTGCTGAGTGCTTACTCTTGGTAAGGCAGGATTTTATCTGATTGTTGTCTTCTGCTGCTTTCAAATTAGGTGATTTTGGACCCTTGGTTTGATATTAACCAAATCAGATATAGCAGAGAGCTGAAAACAAAATAGATCATCCAAACGTCACTGGAATAGGAAGAGGAAATGATTTATATTTGAAAGCGACCCTTTGAAGTGGTAATTAAAAACCACTGCTGTACCTCTTGTTAAATATGCATTCTCCATTCCAGTGACTCTCCCACCTAGGGATAGATGCCAGTGTTCCAGCTACTGAGAAAACATGTCTTTATTCCATTTAAGGAATGTCTTAAAGGTTAGGAACATAATATTATGTTTGCATAATAATTAAGCAAGTAAAATTACATCAGAGGAAAATTGGTTTCAGTTTCCACTCCTTTCTTTCAAAACTATCTGTTCTTAATTATTTTAGATTATTTTAGATTAATTTTTAGAATTGAGACATTTTTCATTACAGGCAATCTGAATGGCCTGAAGGGAACGAGTTTTGGGGCACATTACTAAAACTGACCTAAGGCCTGGACTTTTTACAAATTTCTATAAATGACAGCAGTGTTAAAGAAACAACAGGCCCCAAATGGAGTCAGTTGTGCTAAGCCCCACGTCAGCAAACCAAAACTTAATTCCTAACCTAACTGCAGCTTCAGCCTCTCCCAGGAGTGGAATTTTAAACCTATGAGTCTGGAATTTCCTGATGAATACTGGCGCCAAGGCGATCTGCAGGATAGCCTCACCCACCCTTCCCCTAATGGAAGGTGACTGCTTGAAAATATCCTTTCTTTCGTTTATGACTTCTGCCTATAAAACCTTCCATTTCATACATCTTCTCAGGGCCCCTTTCTACTTGCTATGTTGGATGCTGTCCAATTCATGAATTGTTGGATGAGGACAGAATATAGCTCAAATGATAGAGCCCATGCTTAGCATGTACAAGGGCCTGTGTTCAATCCCCAGTACTTCCCCAAATAAATAAATAAGTAAATAAGTAAATAAACAAACCTAACCTCCCCAACACCAAAAATTTTAAAAATTAAAAAAAAGAGAGAGATACTGAATTGTTGGGTAAAGCCAACTACATCTTCAAATTTACTCAGCTGAATTTTGTTTTTTTAACAATAGTTTAAGTCTAAAATAGTCTAACTTTAGACTATTTTGCCAAGATTTTCCCTTTGTGTATCTTTATTTTATTAGGGTTCATTATTTCTAATGTATACAATTTAAGGCTTTGTATGTTTTAAGTTGATCCCGAGAACACCAGGTCTCTGGTAGCGGCTGGGCTACTTCCAAGGGCTCACTTTGTAGAGGTCCCTATTGCTAAGCAATTGATTGGTCCTTAAACTGTGTCCCATAATCATTTTTTTTTCCTTTTAACTTCTGTGTTTTGAGTTATGCATGTATCTCAAAACAGTTCTGAGAAGAAGATAGCTATGTGAAGGGCATCTTTCTGAGTCGACATTCTTGGGGTGAGGGCTCATTTCGTCTGATATGGAAGCATTTATGATAAATAGGGGAACAATTGAAGGGATGCAAGTCTTAGGTCCCTGCTTCTCAAACTTTTCCGTTGGAGAATCCTTAAAGGTAGATAAGAAAGGAATTTGTACCTCTAGAATTCCAAGGGTTATAGTGGAAAGGCCTGCCTTGTGAGCTTTAAATTATTTGAGTTTGCCCATTGTATTTTTTAAATTATGAGAATTTTAAATTTGATTGCTAAAATAATGACTTGTTTAACTCTAATGGTAACATCATCTCCTTTCCATTTCTGAGTAAAACTGATGCTCCAGAAAGAGAAAAGATACTCATTCTGTGGTTTTGAGTATCCATTGACCCGCTAGGGTTGTGAGAGGCATTGAGACATTGAGGAGAGGGTTCTTAGAAGTAGAATTATTGATGAAATAGAAGGGCAGAGGGTAGAGCTGCTTGACACAAGTGAAATAATGGTGTTGTATAGGAATAATAGCTCCGATTGTCTATTATTTGGTGGTCTCTTTTGCAAAGGCAGGCAGTCTAAATGAAAAGGCTAAGCAAGTCATCAGTAAGGCACAGTTGTCTAAGAGAAAAATGTAAGTTATATATGGAATACTGAGGAAGCAAGCAGATTCGAGACAAGCTCAGAGTGGTCTGCTATATTTCTTCTTAGAAGACATCCTCACACCCCCAGAAAGAAAACTTTTTAAAAAATTCACTTTCGGTTTAGGAAAATTAGAAAATATGGAAAAACAAACAAATAACTTCACCCATGATCCCATCACATGGAGATAACAGATATTAACACCATGGTGAATATCCTTCCTTGATTGTTTTTCTATGTCTCTATAGATACATGTATATGACAAAATGGGGAAAAAATGAATCCTATAACATGCTTTTTTTTAAACTGACCAATACTGACATTGTTGTTTGCCAGTAAATAAACTCCTTTGCCATCACTTTTTTCTTTTTTTTTAATTGAAGTATAGTTGATTTACAATGTTGTGTTAGTTTCAGGTGTACAGTGAAGTGATTAGGTTGTACACACATATATATTATTATTTTTTAGATTCCTTTCCATTATGTCATCACTTTTAATGATTTCATTATTTATTACCTTGATGGAGTGCTATGACTTTTTATTCTTTTATTTTGACAAAGTTCACACTTTCAGAAAAGTTGCAAGAAAAGTATAAGGTTGTATACCTTTTGTCAGATTTACTAATTGTTAATATTT